TAATAAAAGTTGCTGTTTTGTTTACTTTTTAATAAAAATATTATTTTATTTACAAGTTATAAAAATGCATGTCGATAATCATGCACTCCAGAATAATCATTTAAAAATGTTATTGTTGAATTGTTATGTTTCTTTTTCATGATAAATATTGTTTAAAAAGCGCCTGATAATTATGCACCAACCAATATACATATATATATATATATATATATATATATATATATATATATATAATATAAAGTGAACATTGAAGTCAACATACTTAGAGGCCACAGACTGTTTCATGCTAGACACAATCATGGCCTGACGATTGTCTAGCATGAAACAGTCTGTCGCCTCTAAGTGTTGACTTCAATGTTCACTTTTATATTTACACACGCTCTATCTCTGATATTGAGCACTTTATCCCATAAATATAGCACACCTTGAAAGAATATTTCTTCATATATATATATATATATATATATATATATATATATAAAAAAGACTGAAAATAGGGAGGATTGAGAAAAAGTCAGAAGATGAACAGGATTCAAGAAAAGAGATGGCGACTGACATTGCATTTAAATTTTTTGATGATTGTAGCTATCAGGGAAGCATGTAAATGGAAGGGTGTTCCACAAGTGAGAAGTGCAAGAAAAAAAAACTGTTGGGAGAAGAAGTGGTGTTTGCATTTAACTATTTCAACAGTAAATGGGTGGGATCTAAAAGCCAATCCAGTGGCACACTTAAAGTCATGCAGTTGGGTCACCTGGGAAAAAAGCTTGTCAAAGTACATACAACATTAATTGCTAAAGATGCTGGAAAATGGCTGATTGATTCTATCACTCCAGAAAGTACCAGATACCTTTTTGCATGCTTCATCTTTACAAGAGTTACATTAGATCAAAAATGATGTACTGTTGCCCAATCTGTCTTGATGCATTTTTTTACCTTTATATTAAACTTAAACAAAGACAATCCATCACAGAATTCCATTCCCACAGGGTTCAAACCACACCCATACAATTCAAGTTGTCAGAGTTCTGAGCCCAAAATAGGAGAATGGAAGTCAGCTTTCAGAAAATCTCAAAAGGAAGAAGTAGTACTGGCCAGTTTGCACATTGGCCACACAAGAATAAACCACTTGTACTTGATAAACAATGAAGATCAACCAGTATGCAAAGAAGGTGAAACAATATAGACTATTAACTGAATGTTCAGATCTTGCTCTCTCAAGACAAAAATGTAATAATATAAACAACAAGAAAGCAAAAGTGGATGACATATTATGTCTTAAAATAGTGGGCTACAAATTATAAACCAAATGATAATGTCAATAAAACCAATTTCTCCATGAACTGTCTATCTAAAAATACATCAATGAGACCAAACTCTTGACAAAACCTTCTTTACAAGAATGCTGTAATATGAACAACATGTATAAGCTCTTTGAGAAAGCAAAAGTAGATAACATAATATGATTTCTTAAAACCAGTGGGCCTCTACCAAAAAATATAAACCAAATGAGAATGTCAATAAAACTAATTTCTCTACAAAAAGTACATCAATGTAACCAAACTCTTGACAAAAACCCTCTTTACAAAGATACGTCAATGAAACCTGATTATCTGCAAACTGGTTTCTTACAAAGAATACATATTCTATTCATATGTATTTTTTCTGAAAACCTTGTTTGCATTAAATAACCCATTCAGTTTGATATGCTGTAAAACAAAATAAACCACACGAAACCATTCATTCTTATCTAAAGCTTGATAGACACTTTCAGCAATTGATCTAGGGAAGTGAAAGCCATATTCCTTATCTGAAAGAAGGTCTGAGTTGATTAGAGCCACTAATACTTAATTAACTAGCCATGCTCTATCATTAAAAGAGCCAGATCAGACCAAAAAAAAATCAGTAAACATTTGACTCTTAACAAAAAACCTCTTTACAAAATGTTATATACTGTATATATGAACACTAATGGGTATGTCCCAATCCTCATAAATACATTGGACACTACTGTAAGTGGGGGTAATATGCTGTCTAAGTAGTTGACCACTAGCAGTGGTTTACCTACTTCATGCTGCTGGCGAGTATTGTATTTTGATGATGTTATAAAGATTACCATTTCATTTCCAACCTTTGTTTTTGTTATTTCTCATTCAGTAACCATTTCTAGGTTACAACACAAAAATACATCAATGAAACCTGATCTACAAGATGATTTCTCTCAAAGAATACATATTCCGTTCCTATGAATTGATTCTAAAAATCTTGTCAGCATTAAATAACCCATTGAGGTTGATATGCTGTAAAACAAAATAAACCAAACTAAACCAAAGAATACATATTCTGTTCCTATGAATCTATTCTAAAAATCTTGTCAGCATTAAATAACCCATTGAGGTTGATATGCTGTAAAACAAAACAAACCAAAACAAACCAAAGTTCTGACAAGTACTGTAGTATTTACCATTTTGATCCATTCTATGCATTCTGTAGCAAGTCAACAGATATTCCAGTTTCATAAATTGTCTTTGTAAATTCCAACTGAACACATCGGACATCATTACAAAGCCAGTACCAGGTTTCACAGCTGGAATTATAGCCTCATGTGGTCTCTTCAGCATATGAACTTAACTATTAATCTGAAAGAGATGAATTGCAATAAGTAAAATCTAATGACACAGTGTCATTCTTCCAAGGTTAAACAGTGATGTTCTCATACACAAATGAAATGAGTGACATTAAATAATGTTACCCTTGTTGGGTTATAAGCAGACATACTCTCCCTTTCATTGAGATAGTGACATGGGTCCTGCATTGGCCGGTGAATGACATCAGGAGATAGATTTACGAAGTGCAGCTGTGATGTAGAACCCAGAGAAGGAGGTCCCTAGCCCACAGCACTAGGTCTCACAGGAAAACTCACATGGTCTAACCAGGTTAATATAGAAAACACAGTAACTCCAGTTTTCACTTCAGGAAATATTAAAAGCAAGGTCCTCCTTTCTTACACACCATTTGTTATTGCATATACATGTTATAATTTCTCTGTGTGGGGCATGTATATAATTTTGTGTATGTCTTAGTATTATAAAAGTCTCTGTGAGAACAAAGTATGTTTGTTATTCTTTTTCCTGTATAACCCTAGCTACTCTGTCACTATTTCTATTAGTTCAACCATTTCAGATCTTTACATGCTACATTCACAGAGTTGAATCACCTTTACTTCCTCTTTATTACATATGTAAGGAGAAATTTTCACTGAGCTTTTTCTCAACAACTGGTACTTTGTGGAACAGACTCTTGCTTCCTTCAAAACTAGAATCTTAACCTCTTCCGTTCAAAGGATCAATCATTTAACTATCCTCCTTTCTCATCATAAACTCTTGCTTTCATACATACCTCATTCATCACTTAACAGTAATTACCTTGAGTGGCTTTAAAGCTTCATATTGAAGGAAATTTGGTATAAAAAAAAAAGAAATCACCTTGCCTAAGATCATCTTCAAGTAGTTACAACCTTAAAAATAAAATGTTCTATTTTTCTAGGCCCCAACAATCATTCTAATGTTAAATTCTGTCTCTGATCTATACTTACCACAGCTACACTATCTCTTTACCTAATGCATCACACATACCATTCAATTGGGTCCACTTCTCTCAGGGAAGGTAAAAGCATTCTACATACCGCTGTTTCTAAATTTTATTTTGTTTATTCAGATAAAGTAATTGTTGCTCTGATATCTGGTATTTTTTTTCATTTTTTTTTTCTAAGAGAGAATTATTTGTAAGTAAGTATCCGTAGTTAAGTTTATCATTGCTTTGTCACCAAGAGTTTCTGGCCAAACCTTATTGATTTGAGAGTCCATTAAAATGATTTGCTACTTCACAGTATTGAGAAAGTGAATTACAGTACCAAGTCGGACACTTGATGTTCCAGACTAACAAATTCTATAATTTTTTTTTCTTCAGTTCTTTGATGACTCTAATCCACTGCATTTAAATCTGTTTCTTAAACTGCCATCTTCATTACTGCAAATGCATAACCAACTGGAAGAAAAAATGTAGAAAGCAGGAATTTTTTTTTCTTCCTGTCCAAAAAAAGATTAGATTTATGGGTGGTGGGATAGAAAGGATGTGAGTGGGAACTGGAAAGAAGGAGAAAAAAAAGAAAAGAATGCTTTACTAGTTACTGAGTTACTCTCACAGACAATTTTAGTATTGAGTTCAGTCCTTAACTGGCACTCTACATTTGTGACCTTGTACCAGACAAGGCTAAGTAAACATTCACTTTGGTACCTCATCATGGAGTAGGGAATAGTGAGATGATTTCACAGATGTTTTGAACTTGAATCTCACTGGGTTACCTACAGTTGTATATTTGAGTGTACTAAGCTGACTAAACAATCATAAATAGTAACAGTTTTTGATAGATAAGTAGATATAGATGACTAGACTGATATACAGTGTGATTGAAAAGTAACTCCCTATTTTATGTATGATGGACTCTCCTGTCTTGTAAAAATTATAGAGTCCGTCATACATCAAATAAGGAATTACTTTTCAATCACCCTGTATATAAACAGAGCAAGATAGATAATGAACAGATTGGTGATGAAGGGTTAGACTGATATGTATCAACAGTGTTATAGTGTATTAAAAAAAATATACCTTTTTTTCCTGACTACATTATACTTCTTAAAGTTTCACAGACAGCACTTTCATCTAGCGTAAAATTCAAAAGTGACTGGGATGGATAGCAAAATAGATTTGAACAGTTATTTAAAAAAATTATACCATTGCTTCTTTATACTTGATGTTACTCAAAGTTCTATGCACCACGAAATATTTAGGCATAAACTTTGACATTGATAGATAGGAACACACTAGAAATAGAGATGAATAGACCAAAAATATATAGAATGATAGAGATAAACAGACTGGAAATGGATAAATTGATAAATAGAAATGAAAAAAAAATGGAAATAGAGATGAACAGATTGAAATTAGATAGATAGATAGATAGATAGATAGATAGATAGATAGATATGAATAGACTTGGGATAAGATAGGATAGTAGATATGAATAGACTTAGGATAGATATGAATAGACTTGGGATAGGATAGATAGATATGAATAGACTTGGGATAGATAGATAGATAGATAGATAGATAGATAGATATTTAGAGCGCCAGTGAAAGAGATATATAGATAGATATGAATAGACTTGGGATATATAGAGATGAATAGACTGAGATTACATAGATACAAATAAACAGATTAGATAGATATGAATAGACTTGGGATAGATATTAATAGACTTTGGATAGATAGATAGATAGATAGATAGATATGAATAGACTGGGATTAGATAGATAGATATGAATAGACTGGGATTAGATAAATAGATATGTATAGACTTGGGATTAGATAGATAGGTAGATAGATACGAATAGACTGGGATTAGATAGATAGATAGATAGATAGATATGAACAGCCTGGAGATAGATACATAAAGATGTACAGACTGGAAATAAATAGATATGAACAATACTGGAAATTGATAGAAATGAACAGACTGAAAAAAGGTTGGACGGATCAGAATAAACTGAGGTACTGAATTTTCAGTGGTGGCAGTGGTAGGTGGATGCAAATAATGGAAGTATGGAGAGAAGGTTGAGAAGAATGAAGGGGAGGAAAAGAAGGAGAGGAGAGATGGAAGGATTGTAAGAAAGATAAGAACAGATGAAAGTGAGAGGAGGAAAGTAGAGGTGACAATAAAAAAGAAAGAAAGAAGGGAAAAAAAAAGAAATAAAGCAGATAATTCAGTCTGAACCAGTGTTCACAGGCTCCAGCTTCTGTATTGATTTCAATTCTCAGAGGGTGTCCAAATCTTATGACCTTGTGCCAGACTGACATAAACTGTAAGAAAAATAGAGATTTGAAAGAAAATAACAAAAAGAGCATATCTGAAAATTAAAAAAATAAAGAAAAAAATTGAAGACATGTCCAAATAAAATAGGAAAGAAATGAAGAAGTGTATATGTGAGAAGAGAAGAGTGAATGAAAAAAGAAAGAATAAGATTGAAGAAATGTGAAAATAAGAGAGGGAAGAGGTGAAGAAGAGTATATATGTGAAGGGAAGAGAGAATGAGGAAGAAGAAAGATGAAGGATAAAATAAATGGCCAAATAAAAGTGGAGAGAGATGAAAATATGTATGAGAAGAAAAGAGAGAAAGAAAGAATAAAAATGAATGAAGAATAAATATTCAAATAAAAGATGGAAGAGATGAAAAAATAGTGTTTACGAGAAGAAAACTGAAGATAAGCTAATGAAAGAAAAAAAGGAAAACAAATGATCAAGTAATATTCAAATAAAGAGGGTAGAGATGAAGAAGAATATATATATGGAAAGAAAAGAAAGAGAATGAAAGAAAAAAGAATAAAGAATGATTAAATATCCAAATAATAAGCAGAAAAAAAAAATGTGGATGAAACAAAGAAAAAGAGGGAAATAAACTCGTGAAGCAAATGACACAAAATAAAGGTACACACTAGAAACACTGGAGTAAACAAATAATTTTCTGGATATATACCCACTGGGTCCTGACCAAATCGAGAACAATTAAAATATGCCTGATGGCCATTATCTACACATCTATAGTCATGCGTACTTTCCCAACTGGGATCATTATATTCACTGGGGATGCTGAAGCCATGATGTGATGCCAATCTCTGCAAGTTAAAGAACAATGCTAAAAACCAACGATAGATAATATATATATATATATATATATATATATATATATACTAAAAAGAAAAATAATAGACAAAACTAGAGTCCAATGCTTGGATATTTATATACACAAAAAAAATTAATATAATAATTAATATATTAAATACAGAAAAATTGAATTTGTAGAGCTGGTAATAAAATATAAGATTAGGAAAAATCCAAGCGCAACACACTACCTTACGGTCTCATCAGGTTAGTTACTTGTGGATGGTGAAACCCAGGTAGTGCATTGTGTGTGGATTTTTCCTTATATTTTATATATATATATATATATATATATATATATATATATATATATGTTAACTGATTTAAAATATGGTTTATTTGCTTCACAGGAATTACCATGTTTCAAGAACCGAAGCTAAAAACTTCAAATTTAATTACATAATTAAATTAAAAGCATTAGTTCTGTTTCATCTTCAAACAAATTTTGGAATAACTTATTTTTAAATTTACTGAGTATTAAACGCACATACAATTCATAATTTTTTGTATTGAAGATACAGAGAAATTCAATCATTTTTAATATTTTATATTCTTAGGATCTACTTGGATTACTTACCCCCGGATTTTTACCTATATATATATATATAAAACTGAAGTACTGCACCAACCTTGTCCTACTCCAAAGCAATTCTGTGGTGAGAAACAAAAACCACCAGTCTACAAATTTCCAGAGAGACCATTGAAAGTAGAAGACAAAGCCCTGAACTAAGTAAAGTCTTTCACCTATCTTGGTAGCAAAGTCAACTACAGTGGAACTTTAGATGATGAAATCATGCATCGGATTGCTAAGGCTACCAGTGCTTTTGGCAAACTTCATCATTGCTTGTAGAATGAGCAGGGTATTAGACTGGACAGTTACGGTGGACTGGTCATGTCTTGAGAATGTCTGATGACAGGATACCCAAGATCCTAATGCACAGCCAGTTAGATCAGGGCTACAGGAGTGTAGGACACCCATGGCTAAGATACAAAGACAAGCTGAAAAGCAACTTGTCAGCTGTCAAGATATCACATAACACCCTTGAGCGCCTAGTCTTGGAGCGGGTAGAATGGAGATCAACGTGTTTTAGTGGATTCAGCAGATTTCAATCTGCTTGTCTGAGAGAAATGAGAGCAAGAACTAAAAGGTCAGCCAATCTAACAGTGATCTCATCTCACGATCCTCACTCTTGCTCCATATGTGGCCTCCTTTGTAAATCACTAGCGGGTCTTAAATGCCACTTAAGATTATTGCACAAAATTTCATAACTGAATCAATAAGCTGTCAGATCCTATGTTAACACCGACGAGAGAGTCCATTATCATTATTATTATTATTATTATTATTATATATATATATATATATATTATTTTTAGGAAATGGATTAAATATGCGTCCTAGAGCAGGGTTTGAACCTGCATCATCTATGGGGAACATTCATTGGATGTGACATGCCTAACTGCTCGGACAAAAAAAGCTCAAATAGTACCTTGTGAATCCTGCTGGAGGACGCATATTTTTTTGACAAAATATTTAAAAAACAGAAATTCTACTTGAATATGAATATCCAAAATTACATTTAAAGAAAATAAATTAAAAAACAATATATATATATATATATATATATATATATATATATATATATATATATATAATATACATATATATATATATATATATATATATATATATATATATATATATATATATAAATATATATATATATATATATATATATATATATATATACATATATATATATATATATATATATATATATATATATATATATATATATATATATATATATATATATATATATATATATATATATATATATATATATATATATATATATATATATATATATATATATATATATATATATATATATATATATATATATATATATATATATATATATATATATATGCATATATATATATATATATATATATATATATATATATATATATATATACATGAATTATTCTCACAAAAACTAATGCAAAGGTTAATGATTTAAATGGTGAGACATCCATCATTGCAAACAATTCCAATAATATACAAAAACCTCCGTATCCGTTATAAATGAAATGATCCTTGTTTATATAAATTTCTGCCGTATTAGTTCTTATTTTTACTACAAGCTTTCGTCTGTTCCTACAGACATCTTCAGGTATAGAATAGATGTTGTTCTTGTTTTTTCTCTTAGTAATAAGAGGACAACGAAAATATATGTATTGTTGTATCCGAAAATGCTATTGAAAATGAGTTACTGTTTTTGGAGCTCGCTAAAGCAACACTGAGTTTGATTTTAAATTTTTTAAAGGTTGTGCGTTCATATATGGTGATGAACGAATTTTTTACTGGTAAATTTTTCTGTTAAAGTGGCATGAACTATATTGTTCAATAATTGCAGTATTGTCGCACTTATTATCCAAAAGTCGCACTTGGATCAGTTATTTAAATTACGATAAACGTGCAATCAATTTACAAATACATGAATTATTCACACAAAAACTATTGCAACGGTTAATGATTTAAATGGCGAGACATCCATCATCGCAAACAATTCAAATAATATGCAAAAACCTCCGTATCCGTTATGAATGAAATGATCCTTGTTTATATAAATTTCTGCCGTATTAGTTCTTATTTTTACTACAAGCATTCGTCTGTTCCTACAGACATCTTCAGGTATAGAATAGATGTTGTTCTTGTTTTTTCTCTTAGTAATAATAGTAATATACATATATATATATATATATATATATATATATATATGTATTTATTAATATATTTTTCTTAGCTCTGTCTAATCACATTGAGCACTATTATGTCTACACCTCTTGGCTATATTTGGTAATTATTTATTTGCTTACCAGTCTATGCATGCCAGCACGTGCGTATACAGTCACTAATATCTAGTTATCTTATTAAAACAATATTAAAAATAGATCATTAATAATATTATATAAAAAGATTACTTTTAGATATCAAATTTTTTTTGTTGTTTTCTCCAACTTCAAAGTTTCTTGGTAGATGTCCAGTCTTCAGGGGGTTCTGGTTTTAAATCATATTTCCAATTTTTTCAATCTGTTTTTTACTCTCTTTTGTACACATGTGCATTCAGAAGTTTAACGTTCTTTTACACACACACGTTCATGAATTTTTGCTTTTCTTTACGTCTTCATTCTTTTAGCAGTTGATTTGAATAAAGTGTTTGATTCTAAATTTCTACATATATCACCTGAAGAATGTCAGGTTTTTTTCTTCAAAATAAAATTTTTCTTTGAAATTAAACTTTTTTATGATTTATATAGAAGTTGTGTTATATTATTAATTAAATTGTAATATTTGTTATATTTGTAATATTGTTATTTAATTAATAATGCAAATACAACATAAAATATTATTTAATTAATAATACAAATACAATATAAAATATTATTTAATTAATAATGCAAATACAACATAAAATATTATTTAATTAATAATACAAATACAACATAAAATATTATTTAATTAATAATGCAAATACAACATAAAATATTATTTAATTAATAATGCAAATTAACAAATATTACAATTTAATTAATAATGTAATATGTCAACTTCTATATAAACTATTAAAAAATACAAATTTAATTTTGAAGAAAAATCTACAGCTGGAAAAATGAAAATGTAAACAAAAGCAAAAATACATGAACATACATGTGTAAAAGAACATTACATTCATGAATGTGCACATGTACAGGGTAAAAAACATATTGACAAAATTGAAAATATTATTTTAAACCAGAACCCCCTGACAAACAGACACACACACTTGCATATATATATACCTGTCTATATTTCTGAGTTGTATTGTAATTATTTATACTATTTATATCATTCAAATTGTTATTGTTATGTTCATGACGTTTTGTCCGTTGTAAATTCTGACATTCTGCAGGTGATATGATGGATTCTCCCATTGAGTTCGACATATGAGATTTCGACGAGCTCAAACTAATTATCTGCATGCCTATGATGGGCATGACTTTTGAGACTGGCTTGAGAATTGCACAAAAGACCACAAACAGTACAGGAGAATGTATTGTGTTCAAATGCAGTAGGAACACTGTTAGATGTCTTATTTTGCTTTCTCATTTCATGTAGTTGACTGATAGTTACTTTTCAATGCAGCTATGTCAATGTTGTACTTCTTTAGCTCCAATGCAACCAGAGCTGTTTTTCTTTCTGGTGCTGAGCTGTTGTCCTGGAGAGTTTGTACATTGCAAGTGCCAAGTTGATGTTTCGTAGAGTTTTTTGCAGTAGCCGGATATGTATGGAACTAATTAGATGTAGGTGTTAGAAAACCAACACAATGGTTTGTTTCAAATGGGGAAGGCTTGTGTCGGACCATCCACACTTTTTGGATCTGTCGATAAAAAAGTAACAGTGCAAAAGACCTGCCATGAAAACTCCGAACAACAGTCCTCATGTGTTATTATCACGGAGTTTAACCTGTCCAGATCACAGTCAATATCAGCCAGTACACGCCTCTCGGCAGACACATGCAATATAATGACTGGGTTATGTTGCCATGAGTTTTCCTTCCCCTCTGATGTTGTTTTATCATGAAACCAATAATAAAAGTTTGCTAACCAAAGCTCGGAGAGACTCCTTTCACCCTCATCAAGGGCAGCTAGTCCGCGTCAGTTCTCAATCTGGTACTTTACATAGCTCCAGCAGGTGATATACATTGGAATTAAAGAGCATTTGATTCTAAATTCCAGCCTATATCACCTGAAGAATGTCGGAGTGCACAATATAGCAATCAATCTCAGCACAACAGTCTGAATGATACAAGTAGTATAAACATATATATATATATATATATATATATAGTGTGTGTGTGTGTGAGAGTATGTATATATATATATATATAT